ATGGCAGCACTTAGGACGTACGATAACATCATGCATTTCCTTGCAAAACTCAATTTCTCATCATTAACTATATTGCTCGTCATTCAATTCGGGTGCTACTGAAGTACAATTATATTTTAGGGTAACTTAATGATAAGTTGAATAAAATTAACTTTTCTACTGCTTGAATAGATTTTGCATTATCTCGTTCAGAAATTTTTAAGTTCGGCCAGTGAACAGAATATTTAGAATATAACTGGCTGGAACGAAAATTGTAGACAATTACACGGTCATTGGGGCCGACCAACGATGAAATGAAGTTGATTAAGTGCAATTTTAGTAAAGATAGGCGGCCATAGCTGTACTTACCTACAAATGCTTCAATTTAAACAAGTGCAAACTGTTATCGCCTATATCGGTATTTGGCAAAACCGCTTAAAGCTTCCAGGAGACACTTTTGAAGTAAATTTTTTTATTATTCTAAAAGAACTCAAATGTACATGAAAGTCAATTTGGAAACATTAATCTTGAAAATATGTGCTATTGTCAAGCCATACGAACGAGCAGTTTACACACATTGTCGGCCTGATTTTGAAATTTGAAATTTGACAGGCAAGCAGTCACAAGAGTCCAATGCAGGGGGTCGTTTCCCATGGCTCAACTGCTGCCTTCTTCGCAACTACTAGGACCTACTACATATGTTGCTACGCGACATCCATGAGTCAAAAATCAAGCCGGAAAATTATTGTCATCGTCAATCAATCGTCATCTCACGTCATGGCTTACGCCCGTCAGGCTCACACTCAAAAAGTGGTCAATAAATATTCAAAGACAGCATTTTCATTTCTTTGATTATTACCTGATTTAAAATATTTTTGGCTCGGCCAACCATTTACTATATAGTTCTTGATACAAGCTTTCCCATCCAGTAATTAGTAATGTCATGACCTACTGACTGGAAAGTAAAAAACATTTTTCACACCATGGATGAAAAAATGTTTTACTAATTTGGGTGTATGTTTGAGGACTTTCACTTGTGGAGGATTATAGAAATGCATAATTTGACAGTTCCCTTAGCGCTTTTCCTCGTTTGACCAATGTTCGAAAGATTATGAAGTAGGTAAAAGTCATGAACATTATAGGGAAAATGTAAACGCAGACATAAAAAGCAAACAATTCGTATAGGACATAACGACGTTGAGGATCTACAATACACTCTTGAATAGTCATTCCAACTATCGTAACCAAACCAATTATGTACGCTGAACCACGAATGATTTTTATCTTTCGTTGACTGAAGGAAAGTTTCAATGGATGAACTATCGCACGATAACGTAGGACTGAAATGAATAGCATCAAAGAAACTCCACTTACTTTAAATGCAGTATGTATGCCAGCTATATATGAGCAGTTTAAAGAAATTGGGATGTTTTTCATCTGAATGAAAAATATACTTAGCAGTGTCAGTGCGTCACTTATTGCGAGATGCAAGACAAGAATGTAGTAGTTCTTCTTTATAAACAGAATCTATCGTTTTAATATCAAAGCGATCACAAGAGTATTCCAACAATGCCAAATGCACATATCGCAATACGCAAAAATACAAAAGCAGCCATAACGATTAAATTGATGTATTCTTATCATTCTATGTTTCAATAGACCACTTTGGCGGTTTTATTTGAATAAAAGCACGTGCTCGCTAAGTGAAAAACTCGGACAAACATGGCGGAAGTCATAACAATGACTAATTTGCTATATGAAATAGAAATATGTTTCGCTCTCTTGCAAAATAAATGTTAACATTTCTTTATTTCAAAATATAAGCGCTTAAATGGAAGAAAGGTTACGTGAAGAGAAATTCAAAGCTATGAAACTGCCCGAATTAAAAAGTTAACTGCAGAGTAGAGGTATAACCGTAAGTAGTTATCTGAAGCCGGGACCATTGAGTTCTATAATAACTAGAGCGGCTATCTCAAGCGCGGCCTTAGATATCTGATAACGCCAAAAAAATGGTAGATTTCGTCCTTTGCCGCTGAGATTTACCGAAATTGACCGCTTTTCCGAAAATTCCATAATTTCCCACTCCCTCCTGAGGAAAGAGTGAGGAAAATTTATGTTTGTATTTGGGATTCGGCAAGCAATTTTTGATGAAAATCAAGGTAAAACCTTAAATTCATAACAGCGAGTCAACTGTGGTTGTCAGTTATCTGCTCCTACGAGGATACATTTATAACTATCGACGAAGACCTATATGTCGGCTACACATGTATGAATGCAGATGTGTGTCGTTTTTTACCAGCGTCAAACTTGTTTGATCGATTAAACTCTTTAGTCTATACAAAATATATCATAGTTCATCTCCACGGTTCACGAGAGAGAAGTCAGCTTATTTGTTATCATTGCTATTTTGCTTCTTTTTTCATGCAATGGCTTTTGTCACAATTGGATTTTACTTGTTTCTTTAAAAAAGTACATATTAAATCTCTGGATATTTGGATTTTGTAATGTGTTTCATATGAATTTCAAAAGACTCAAAGTCTGCATAGGTTTGGTAAATGAAAACAAACAATATTGTATAGAATTACTTTAATAACCTTTTTGTGATGTTCTGAAGTGCAGCTGCATCAAATACTTGTAAAGAGTTGTAGCACATTTGATTTTGTTGTATTGATATATGAATTGGGCAAAATGCAAATAATCATCAAAACACTTATGCTTCCAATGGTGTTTTATAATTCATTTGTAGTTTTTAATACTTCTACCTTTCTTTTCACTTTGTTTTGTTTTCCTATATTTGAAATAAAAGTGCACTATAATTTGAATGATTAGCACAGTTTTTCACCTCAATAATAAATTTCATAAGCAGTTGGTAGTGCATTTTGTTCTCTGAGTATCCACATGGTGTTTTGTTCATACAAGAATGATGAAGTGCAAATAGATATGTCATAAAGGCAATAAAACAAATGAATTACATAACTATAGTGTACTTTTTATGCTAGAAGCTTAAAAGCTTTTAGAAAGTAGAAATGAATTGGATTATATTACCTCTATATCATCAATCTCATGATAAGAAATAAGAAGCAAAAAACTTGTAGAAAGCTTTGAAAAGTGAAAAACGTTTTCTTTTAAAAGCAACAATGTAAATGCATATGATAAATTTCCATTCTGTACTCTAATAGGTAAATAAGGTCAAATTTTCTTAAAAGAAATATAAAATATATAAAGAAATATACAGTACAGTAACTTTAAAGGTTTCATCACATGAAGATCTTTAATGCTTCAGTATAGTGCATTAGATATTAGTAACATTAAACTACACTCAACTAAAATATTTTGATAAAAGATATGACATGATTTAAACATTAAGTTATAAAATAATGGCATACAGTTTGAAGCTTCACATCTACATCGAGTCATCACCAATCTCAGTACAAATGTTTACATAGACACAAACTTTATGGCCTTCCATTTTACATGTTTGTGAATTGACATTTCATTAAGCATCAAAACACACACAACCTTCTTGCCATCTTTCTTTGGATCATGAACTTTAACTTCAAAGAATTCAAGGCATCCTTAGTGAATCCATTGTCTCCATCCATAGAATTTGACCACGATCAAATTAAATAACTCTGGATAGGGCAGACAATAAATCAATTAGCTTTACACCATTATCATTTTTTAAGACTCTGCCTGGTCAATAACATCTTCCACTCATCTTTACTCCTTGATCTTCCCTGCATGTTGTCAGCAAATAGAACATAACAAGCTCTGCTACAAATCATGGGTATCTTTGGGGCTGATCATTTGTTTTTGATACTTACTCACAGAGCAAAATGTGTGCAGGGTCTTTTTTGCTTTAGGGAAACTATTTTGCAAATAAATGGGTAAATTTACGATTTCATGGATTAACAAATGACAGAAAAGTATGCAGAATTTTATAAACAAAAACAGAAAAAAAGCAGTATATTTGGCGTTCAAGTCAGTCTTAAAAATACGATCTTTAATATGTATTTTATGGCTTTTCAAGTGCATGTATAATTGCTTTTCAATCGTTGAGGGACTAACAAAACAAACAACTACCTCACCTGTGAGAAGCAATATGTTCCTTTTTGTGGAAACTACGACATCCAACAATTGAACGATTGAAGTGTTGGCATTATAAAAGAAATGCCAAAAAAGATATCGTCACAGAATATGGAACTAACGATATCCATATTCTGTGATATCGTGACTGTTTTTGAAAAATTCTTTATAATTTACTATAGACACCAGGGGGAGGTTGAGAATATTATTTTTCTGCAAAGCGATCATTTCAGCGGAAATACGTCCTCTGGCCGCCATTTTTTTGGCGTCCTCGCCCCAGTAAAGTTAGCCGCTCCAGTTATAATAGAACTCAATGGCCCGGACTAGTAGCCATTGCATGTGCAGTGGAAAAAATGAACATTCCATTGATCCCGCCAGTCAGTATAGCCGAGCAGCAAGTAAATTTAAGTTGTCGTTTCCATGACGTTGAACCGCCGGATCCATTTACGATTAATGTTTCAAATGATTTTAAAAATTCACCCCCGTTCGGCTTGTTTGATATATTTAATCATCTTATATATCATTCATCGGAATACGACAAGCAGGGTCTTGCAGCCTATAAGTCGTTCGAGAACTATCGTTTGTTTTACGATGGATATGTTCAGTCTTTGCTAACAGTATACAGGCAAGATGCTGGGGTCCATGTTTATATAGGCAAGGTTAAGCCTACAATGAAAGAAATGACTAAAGATGGTAAAGACGTTTACGATTTATGGTTTATATTGGAAGGAAACGGGTCTAATCGCGGCAGTGTGCTTGATACGTATTGCTGTTGTCTTGGTGGTAGAGATGGTGGATGTAAGCATGTATCATCTGCTTTGCATTCTCTTGATGATCTGCTTAATTCTAGAGGAGAGGATAGTGTCACAAGTAAGGAGTGTAAATGGATTCGAAGATCAAGATTCTCATTCGTCTGTAAAAAGTGAGTTCTTATCATGCCACCAATAAAATATATTGTGCAAATAAATCTTGCTATATGCATTATTTGGTAGGTCCAACAGCAGGAAATCTCTTCAAACCTCTGTGCTGTTTCTGTATCACTTTTTATTAAATACTTCTTGAAGGTATTTATGGAAACTACATGTTTCTTCAAGTTAGAGCTTAATAATAGGAAAGATATACTCAATGCAATTACATAGGGAAGAGTGCTTACTTTTTCAATCTCGCAACATTTTTTAGAATATTGAAAAATATGAGAAATGTCCCAATGCTTTCATTGTCATGGAACATAAATGGTTCAGTAACAAGGATGCCACAATGGAAAGAAATAAATGGCACAGAACTTTGCACACATTGTTTACTCTGCATTGATCTAAGTTTATCAACACAAAGGAATATTTTATTGTATATTTTTTAAAACTTCTATATACAATGTTTTTAAGGTGATGCAATATTCTGTGGTTGCAAATTAACCATTGCTGCACAGATAGACGCAACAGAATCAATATATTGTTTCATTGTTAATGGGATTACACCTTGTAATATACTAAATGACTTGAGTCGTTGAATAATTCTTTCAATGTGAATCCTCTTTGTAGCTACTCTCCTTGTCATTGTTGTTACACCAGTGCCAACATTACCTTTATGCTTAATTGGAGGTGAAATTAAACGGACATGTCGAAGGGCAAGTAAATCCTGGATATTAAATCCTTTGTCAGCCATCCTGCAGCTAACTCTTCAACAATCACATCTCTTGATGATTTCCTTGTCGCTTATGCAACCACTGAACAATGTAGAATATAGTTGATATGTAGAAGCTGAAATAAATAGTTTGAAGGTGTTTCTGCCTATGTAGTTACTATGTGTCCGACGTTGACTTGCGGAAGAAGGTTTTTGTTTATAGGATTCTGTGCAATCAATTGTGCACGAAGACATGGATTAGATTCGTAAAGTTTAGGCCGGGTTATTCCTTCCATGTTTTTCAAAGTGGTAAATGGAATAAATAACTTTAATTCTTTCTCAAGAAACTTCACCCATGTCAAGAATATGCTGCTACCAACAGTTTCTGACACTCCAAATAAATCACATAACATCTTGAGACAAGGGAATCTTTTGATCCTGACCAATGTGAATATAAATTGCTCATAAACTGAAAGTTTAGCCCATGTAGAAGTTTTGTGGATCTATAAAAATGATTAAGTGCTTATCATTCATTATACATAGGGAGCTATTAACTGCATTACACAACTATTAACCAGAGTATTTACTTGAGCAATATGTATGATTATATATTACTGTACCCTAGCACTGCTCTTTTTTTCTTGTTTATATTTTGCTGTTTTCTTCCCTTTCCATTTGATAAGCCTGGAAGCCTTTGCTTTCACGAACTCAAAAAGTATTTTCAACATTTCACCTGGTAGGCCTACAGATAAATTAATTCAGAGTAGCTCACAAAGTCCTTTATTATTTCCAATAGCTTCCAACATAAGCAATTATAATCAACATAGTAAAAAATGAAATTTTATACCTGTATAATGGGCTGAATCATTAACCACATTTTCTAAAAACATGCATTTCTGTATACTGCTGATGTTAACAAATGACTCAGTCGCATAAGTTTTAAGATGTTCATGAGTTAGGTTGGTTTGAACAGCAGCATCTTTTTCAACAAGAAGAAGTTCGTCTTGGTCCTCTTGGATATCACGGGATGTTGTACTATTTTCACATAAGGATAGGAGGCCGTCAGCTGCGTCTCTTTTAGCGTGTTCCCTTTCGCTCAAGGAAAGAAGAGCCTCTGCTGCATCTTTTTTGGAGATTGACGTTCGTTTTGGTGGCGGATAATATACCCTCGTGATTGGTTTTTTTCGTTTTCCCGTTAGTTTTCTTCTCTATATGAATTTAAAATGATGTATAAGCTTATAAAACGTTCAGCAAGCTTTCGTATAATTCACACATTTATGAGCAGTCAACACTTACATTCTCAATACTTTGTATCGCTGAAATAGGGTCTGGGTTATCTAAAGTAGGACCATTTTCTCCCACAAAATGAAGACTACAAATATAACTGTCTTTCGTACACACAAATCTGTCACCTCGATGACACGCACGAATCCAGCGCTCTCACTTGTCGCTATGGTATTTCTCCCCAGGAAAATGTAAAAAAAATACTTTGCTTCTACTTGCGTCTCGTTTTAAACGATCAGGATACCGCGAATCGCTTTTGCAGGTTCCCCAAGTGCACCTCTTCGTCGTAACCATTGTTATAAAATTACTCCGCCATGTTTGTCCGAGTTTTTCTCTTTAGCAAACACGTGTTTCCACATTTTTGAAAACCGCCAAAGTGGTGTATTGAAAAACTGTTTTTTCAGTTAATAGGTCAAGTTGCAATGTTTGACTAAAGTACGGTCTCGTTATTGTTTTTGTCGCTATTAGCTATGCTTGTATGCTGTATATATATTTGTACTGTCTTTCTGCGGGTAATGTGTATTTAAATGTACCAATGAGCAACCACGAAAACTTATATTTCATAATAATACCCATTAACTATAACAACAAAGAGCTTTAGTAGCGTCAAATTACAGCTTTATAAAAAAACGTGTTCTTCAAAGCCATTTTAGTTTGCCGTTTGATTAAACGAGCAGCCTTAGTGGAATCACAATAGTTCTTTGACCAAATTTAGAAAAATATCATGAATCATTAGCAAACCCTTTGATAAAATGTTTTCCGATGCTAAAAGTCGTGAGAATAATTAAAATACTAAAGACACCAACTGAATGACTTTTTTTCAAGAATTGAATTGCACAATACATGTACTTCATGCAATATATATATATACAAAGTGTATAACAATGTGCCCTCCCGGCTATCACCATAGTATAATGGTGACTCCTGCACTTCGGACACAGGATGTACGGTTTATATATATATATTAATGGAGAATATTCATGGATAAAAGAGCGCTCAATATCCTATATATTAGAAGAGGGTAATATAAAATGAAATAAAATGAACAAGCGTTTGCTGTCGCTACTCAGAGTTTCACGCCGTAGGGCGATCTTCAGGCAAGTGACAGATTATATATTATTCGCTTACTATATACATCGATTAAAAGGTGTTAAGTTACATGACGGCATGCACTAAACAATCGAAACCCGCAAAAAGCCACCTCGGAAAAGTGAGCAAATTCATCCTAGACAACATCAACAACGTAATACGAAACGAACTAAAACTAAACCAATGACGCAACACAACAGATGCTATCACTTGGTTTAAATCCATCACCGAAGAACAAAGAAAATCATTCATATCATTTGACATAGTAGACTTTTACCCTTCGATCACCGAACACCTACTGGACAAATGCCTAGCATGTGCAAAACAATACACAACAATCACAGAAAAAGACCACACCATTATAAAACACGCAAGAAAATCACTTCTTTTTTACCAAAACAAAACATGGTCCAAACGCAACTTGTAGGGCTATTCTTACTTGATCAACTGCAGCACCGGTACGGGAACAACGTCGGCTTATACCGGGATGATGGCCTTGCAGTCATAAATACAAAATCTGGAAGACTCTGCGACAAAGAAAGAAAAACCCTCTCACACCTATTTGATGAGCTTGGACTAAAAATCACAGCGATGACAAACCATGAACGCACGAACTTCCTTGACGTAACCTTTGACCTTAGCATCGACACCTACCAACCATATAGAAAACCCAACGACGAGCCTCTTTACACTCACAGATCGTCCGACCACCCACCATCAGTATTACGCCAACTACCCACATCCATCAACAACCAAACATCAATGTAAACATTACGTGCAATAGAAAACGTAACGTCACTTGGTTTAACCTACCATACAGCAAAAACGTAATAACACACATCACCCACGACTTCCTACAACTTATCGACAAACATTTCCCACCAAATACTATACTCTCCAAGATATTCAACCGACACACAATACGCGTAAGCTACAGCTGCGGCGAAAACATGAAAACTTTCATAACCAGACACAACAAGACTATTTTAGAAAGACTTAACCCAGAATCAACTCAGAAAAAGAACAACCCCCCAAAGAACTGTAACTGCAGACAGAAATACCGATGCCCGACAAATGGCAATTGCCTGAAACCCAACGTGATTTACAAAGCCGACGTGACAACGACTGACAACAACGAAACAAAAACTTATATAGGTGTTACTGCATGCGCTTTTAAAACACGATACCGAAACCACATTAAATCAATTACAAACATTAAATACCGCAACGAGACAGAACTTTCTAAATACCCGTGGACACTGAAAGAAAACAAACGTAACTACAACATTAAATGGGACTTCATATAACAACTTCCACCTCCGAACAAAACTAGAAAACCTGCCGTCTTTTCCTTGAAGACTACTTATCCTGAAAGGACGTAAAAAGAACATTTTAAATAAACGTTCCGATATGTTTAGTGCATGCCGTCATGTAACTTAACACCTTTTAATCGATGTATATAATCAGCGAATAATGATGAATCTGTTAGTTGCCTGAAGATCGCCCCACGGCGTGAAACCCTGAGTAGCGACAGTAAAAACATCATTATACACGCTAGGAATGAATTCTTAGCGTGTATAATGATGTTTTTTGACAAAATATACTTTGGTACAACCCTCCATTCAGCAAAAACGTCTACACGAACATCGGCCACAAATTCCTTTCATTAATCGACAAACACTTCCCCATAGACCATAAACTCAGGAAAATATTCAACCGTAATACCATCAAACTCAGCTACAGCTGCATGAACAATATCGAACAAATAATCAACAACCATAACAAACATATACTGAGAACATCAGACAAAACTAACGACAACACCGCGAACAAAAAGACACTTACAAAAACATGCAACTGCCGACAAAAACAAAACTGCCCACTTAACGGAAATTGCCTGCAGTCATCCGTTGTTTACCAAGCTACTGTAAAACGCAAAGACAATAACACAACTGAGACGTACATTGGACTTACAGAAAACGAATTTAAGACTAGACATAGAAATCACACTGCCTCTTTCCGCCACAAAAAACTACGAAACTCGACCGAGCTCAGTAAGCACATTTGGACCCTTAAAGACAGCAATATCGACCACGACATCTCATGGAACATCATTACACACAGCAAACCATACAACAGCACCAGTAAAGATGCAACCTTTGCCTTAAAGAAAAATTCTTCATCCTGTACCAACCATCCAAATCATCCCTCAATAAACGCAACGAACTTATTTCCTCTTGTCGCCATAGATCCAAAACACTCCTATGTAATTTGTAACCATACACCGTAATTAATACTCTAACTTCCGTCATTTAACTTGAAACTATACACCTTGATTAATACACTAGCTTCCGTCATCATCTTGTATATATATCTAAGCATTTAAGTATTTTATTCATTAAATCCCCTGAAGAGTGAGCAATCACGAAACAGGCTTGTCGGGAGGAAATTGTAGTTTTGTGTATTTTCTTCTCCTTACCAATATTTACGCTCTGCTCTCGGGCATCGAGCACTGTTTTATACGGAAAATCATAAATTATAAACTTCCTATAATATATATATATATATATTTGAAAATTAGTAACCAGGCATATTATGATAATGATAAGGATTCTCTGGATTTGTTTTAAATTTTTATTAAACTTTCAACTCGGTGCTTCGAGCCTTCGTCAGAATGTGACAATATATTATTTACAAAGATTTTGTAGGCGTTTGGAGCGTCTGATTGGTTGGTTAGTAGTTCAAAGAGGCATAGTACAGCAAAGACAACAACACAATTAACAGACATATTGACATCCCCATCATCTATTCACAACTAAAGACAAAACCAAAACAACAAACTAATAACACAACCACTAAAATAAAACACTCGAATTTCATTAATGTAATCGATACACCCGAAACCATGACAACGCATCTTAACCATCCAATAATATCAACTCAACTACTAACCAACCAATCAGACGCTCCAAACGCCTACAAAATCTTTGTAAATAATATATTGTCACATTCTGACGAAGGCTCGAAGCACCGAGTGGAAAGCTTAATAAAAATTTAAAACAAATCCAGACAATCCTTATCATTATCATATATATATATATATTGCACAATACATATACTTTATGGAAAAAATTTTCCCCATTTTTTGAGAACAATTTAATATACGAATTATTATATATAATGAGTAATTTTCTGAACAGTATATGAGCTTTTTTACTTAAATATTTGCAGAACTGTAGAGTTTAAAACATTTGTCGAAAAAATGGCAACGCCAGAACTATGTTAGTTACGACAAGTTTTCTTCTTCATTCATTAACGACGTGTATTTCATCAAAGTTAAAACAAAAACACGAACATTTAGACCAAGTCAGTGTCTGTCTAATATTTCTCTCAATCTTTTCTTTTAAATCCCCGAAAGCACACCTGTTGCTTATCACGTTTATACAACAGATGGGAGAATTCAATGCTTGTACTCCAATCCTTGTACACCTTGAAGTAGAAAACCTAGAAGTCAAGTGGAAGTCAGTAAACGCCTGTCGTAAAGACCGAGAAAAATATCATAACATTTCATGCATAAAGCAGCTATATATAAGAAAATTGGTTTATTTGTTCAAAAGTAATTTGAAAATAGTATCATTAACGACCAATAATGCGTCTCAACGACTACTTCTCTGTATAGCTGATGTGTGTAACCCACCAAAACCCGCTTCCGGAAACTTCCCTCCCAACTGCCCCCTGTATGGTTATGAAATGGCCCCCTTACATAAGAACTATTGCAATTCTTCAAGTTCGTGAGAAAAATCAATAAAATTTAAACAATCAGAGAACGTTTGTTTTATCATCTTTAGACTGTTAACAAGAAGCTGTTTACAAGAGCCCTGCCAGTCGGGTGGCTTTGCACTTGTTAGCTACAAGAAATCCATGTACTTAAAAGTTAGTTCGTACGAAAAGAGAGCCAGCCCTCTTTTGCAGCTATAATTGACAGAATCATATTCTTATGAAATTTTATGAAACTTTTTATAATTTACAAACAATCATTTAAAAAAATGCGCTGTGGACGTCTTCTTGATGATTTTCAGATAAATGGTTTTACCTCAAGTTTTTGATTTCTGATAGAATAGAGGGAAATGTTTCACGAACTTTGTACGTTTTAGCTACAAAACATTTTAAGACCATTTGCCTCCATGCATACACGTAATTAAATA